AACTGTTTCATATGAGAAAATAGAAGAGTCTCTAGCTGTACATTGAATTACTCTTGTTGAAAGCTTTCAGAAAACATATAGCTTGTTAGGAAAGAAAGGACTTTCCTGTAGGGTGAACGTGGTCGTAATTGTTTTTTTAGAATTAAGGAAATTTTTTTATAAAAATTTATAACTTTACTATATGAAAAGCTACAAAAGTCCCTTGCACTTCGTTGGAATCCTCTCGTCGCCCGCTTTCTGAAAGTATGTAGGATACCAGAAAAAAGGTGATTTTTCTACCGGGTGAAAGCGGTCATAGCCGTTTCTCCGGAATTAAGCCAATTTTTAATTAAAAAAATTATAACATTTTTATATGAGAAGCTGGGAGAGTGTTCAGGTGTTCGTTGAATTCCTCTCGTCGTTCGCTTTCAGAAAACTTATAGGTTGTGGGGAGAAGGATGCTAAAGGTACGTGGTGAAAGGGGAGAGAACATGGTATAATGGAAATGTTCCTTTCTGAACTCCAGAAGTGTCGTTTTAAGGAGCTAAAGGAACACGGAACTAATTCAATGTATAGCTAGAGATTCTTCTATTTTCTCATACGGAACAGTTACAATTTTTATAGAAAAATTAGTCAATTTTGAAAAAATGACCTAAACTATCTCTACCTAGCAGGAAAAATCCCTCTTTTTTCCTGGCAAGCTGTATTTTTCTGAAAGGGGATGGAAAATAGACTTCTAAACTAGACTAGGCTAATTATGGGTGAGTTTCCTCCTAAGATTTCCTAAGTTTCTCAAGCTTCTTTAATGGAAAACAAAATATTTTCAGTATAATCAAGCGCCAGTAGTCATTTACGATTGTCCTCCTCTTCTTGTATAGTGCTCCAACGTAGAACAATGTACTTCTCGCTGTCCTTCCTCATGCATATCATCGTTCAAGTAGGCGGATTGTACAACTCCATGATCCTCGTAGCTATTGCATTTTGACAGTAAGACTAACCCTAATTACACTAAGTCTTCGATGTAATACGTGCCCTTAGTTGCACCTTCTTCTCTACGCAAACGTTATAATCTCTGTCAGAGTTTAGAACTAATATTAAAAGTTGGAACAATGACTCTATAAGGAATCAATCAATGACTTTTCACGGATTCCTCCATCTGCTTAGAAAATTCATTTCTCTTCAAAAAATTGCAATTCAACTGCGCACCGATCATCAAAGTTCATCTATCATTTCAATTATTATTTCAGCAAATACGTGAGTAACTTCATTGACGTATATACACGAAGGCTTCACACCTAAATATTCCTTCAAGCTTTTTCGTCATTATCTAGAAGTAAACAAGAGGCGGCAAATTTCCGACGTACTTTTCAGTAAACCTGCAAATAAGTTTTTGATAATCGTAATAATAATATCGAGAATCAACATGTCACTAAATTTGGTACTTTTCCGTTATCCGGACCCAATTTTTCAAAGAAGGATTTTGCTTCTTCCCTCACACCAAATTTGGTCCCAACTATAAAGAAAGGAGTGTCAACCTTTCTGCCACGTGTCAAGAAGATCTGGCATGTGACTTACATGTTTAACACATTTAACCAAGAGTTTGAGTTGCCCTACTTAGCGACGTAAGTCCAACCTGTTTTTTGGTCAATAGGGGCCTCATATTCGATTGAACAGTGTCAAAAATGAACAATGTTATCATAATCACGTCATTATGTTATTGACGAACAGATCGAACTCGCCCAGAATAGAGAAATGGGCTAGGTTCTTATTATCTAAGGGAAGAAACGAGCAGTGGCGAGGAACTTTCCATCATTTATAGTCTCGTCTGGCTAAATTCGCAAAGCGAAAAGTTTAAAGAGAAGGGCAGATCATAACATAGCTAAAAACGATCAAGATGTTATAGTATAAGTTCTAGATTGTTTTGGTCTTATAGGAAACAAATAAACAGCTTCTAGGTTATCACAAATGCTTTTTTACTTCACCGGAAATGATTCCGAAAAAAACATGTCAAAATGGACCAAAACGTGTCAATATTTTCCTGACACGTGGCAGGAGATCAATCCTCGTGGAATCTTTGAAAAGATGTTTTCAGACTAGAGAACGTATTTTATGTTGAAGAAATGGGTAACGGAAAACCGGATAACGGAAAAGTACCCTAAATTTAATTTTATCAATGCCGATTGTTTATAATTTTGCTTAAAATGTTAATTTCTTGGTCTCACATCTTCCAGTTAATCATCGGCCGTGGAAGGGTGAAGGGGGATCAGCTGGGTTCCGGCCCAAGGGTGAAGGGGGTAGGAACACATTATCCCCTTTTCACATGTATGATAGGGTGTAAGCAACTTATAACATTGCAGTTCTCTTCTTTTGAAAACTAAGGCTGACCACAACCACGCAGTCATCAAGTTGTAGCTGCCATATGTGGCCGATGCTCTGCAATTCAAGGTGATTCATTCTGATATCAAAACTGATGTACCCTAAAATCTTACAGATAAGCGCATTTTTGACTAGAAAAATCTCCGCCTACAGATAAGTCCGGACTTATCTGACAAGATTTCAGGGGTAGTTATAATGGAAAGAAAGCGGACTTACCCGAAGGCGGACTTATCTGAAGGGCGTTATTCGAACCAAAAAAGCGGACTTATCTGACGGCGGACTTATCTCTCTATCTCTCTTTACCTCTTTCATTGTGATGCAGCTACCATCTGGCTGAGCTAAGGCAGAACTTCGCTACATAAATTGTGCTGCCTGCGTTTTGAAGTGTCCCATTTCTAATGAGGGGTGAACTGATCGGTCCAAATGCTTTCAATATTCATGACAACCTGAACTATCCTGGTTTAGATCCGTTTCCTTGAACGAATATTTCCTATCTACTCTATTTATTTTCTTTGAGCAGTCCATCGCTCCCCTATTGAGCACTCTGACACTGGAGCAACGGCGACAGACTTTGATCATGTGTTGAAGGTTGTTCTATGGCTCACTGTATAAGAGTGCCAACCTAGCTAATTTCGTATTTATGAGATCAATACCGGTGATTTTTCCTTGTTCGGTCATGTTCGATTTTTTTTTGAATCACTCGAAGAAGTACAACATTCTACGTCCTCAACTTTATTGATAAGAGAAGAAGCCAAAAAGGCAAAGTTTATATCTTTTTAGGTCGCATCAATCTAGTGCAGTGAAAGAGGGAGTGGGTGAACAACTACAAAATGAATTGCCTATCAAATTGGCCCAAAAATGCACCATACTTCATTTTTTGATGTGGACGGTTTATCAGAAAGCTACGATATGACCGGATTGGTTTACCCTTGAGGTTGCATTTAGCTTGTAACTCCTTGAGTTACGAGTATGATCGGCTCCGGAATCGTATAGAGGCACAGTGTTGCAGCATTTTGTCAATAGGTGATTGTAAACTTACTTCTAAACATAGACTTACAAGCTCTCTGGTTGTAAAAATTGTCTGTTTTTCGGGCCGCTATTTTTCCGCCAATATGAATCTGGGAGACGATGACGCTAGCAGGGAGAACATCAAGTATCCTGACAGCCGTACAAGCTTTGCGCGAAGACGAGATTGAGAATTTTGAATTCTTCATCACGGCTTCTGATCTAGATAAGATTAAAAGATTTTTCAAAAACAGTTAGGCTGCGGCAGAAAAGGACATCATTTGGGTGCTGTTAGCTCGTCGACCAAAGAATACGCTAGCCCAGAACTTTTATATAAGCAGGCTGCCATTTTGCGGAGATAACTTTTTGCATACTAGTATGAATGCGCCAAGTCCGTGATAACTCCGCGTTCCATAGCTCAACCTATGACCGGGCGCGACACTATTGAAAGTATATAGATGTTGTGCGTCTCGAATACGTCGTATAGTGTCAAGAACCCATGTCTGCGTCTCTTCATTCCCCTCATTCTATGCTTGGCAAGCTCCACGTGAAGTTTTGCTTACTCCTGGTTGTAGACTGTAATTGAGTAACTGCTCAAGTTTCACTCCAAAAGGTGAATTCAGAAGCGGAACAACCGCTTCGAAGAGGCCGTGCGGACATGTTCGTTTTGTCCTCATCGTGAGTGGTCTGTAGGCCATGAGTGCTGAATCGGTCTCAAGTAGCTGGATCAAAAAGTTGATTTTTTAGTATGCGAGAAAGAATTTTGACACTAGCTACTTGGAAGCCCTTTTCCAGGGGGCATTACTTTCAGAACACCCAGTTAATAGACAGAACGGAGAGCTCTCATCTGCATTTGGGTGCGGTTTTCTTCATCCGACCTCTGCGGCAAGACTTGCACATTCAGCCAATTAGGGGCTCGCTACTGCACTGCATAAAATCTCAACACTCTTGATTGAAGGGCCCAAGCTGGGTGGTTTGTGATAACGAGAGAGTCTGGAAATTTGCGAAATAAGCTCAGCGATGTTATCACCTGCAATGCTGCACCCTTACATGGATCTGAGAGCCTATGATACTCGCTCAGATCTTTTAAATAAATAATCTTGCAGAGCACACTTGTGGCCTTTTCGTGCAAATGATAGGACGTTTGAGCTGAGATCTGGTCCTCATTACAGTATAACCCATTATCGGGGGATCCGCAAAGGTCACATTCCGCAAAAGCGCTGTCGCTAAAGCCGGCGATACATGAAGCTAAGTTGGTGATCGGGTTCATGCCTATTTGGGTCATTGTAGATGCTCGCCCGGCCTTTGTGCATGTTGGTGCACTTTGTTGTAGAGTTGGCTTGCTGATTTTTCATCCATATTACGAAGGCACAAAATATTATTTTTATTCACAATCTTAATCACATTTTCTAAGATAAACTCAACAAATTCAATAACTAAAAGACTAACAGTCGCAGAAAACTCTTTACATGCACAAAAACAAATTAAACGTTGTGATACACTAAACAATCAACAGCCTCATTTCTTACGCTCCCAAAAAGCCATTGAAACAAAGGAATGCAACACACCATAACATACCCGTTTTTTTCATTATGGACTTTTGAATCATCAGCACTCATCACCAGATCGTGCTCGCTTTTTTCTCTAATGAATGTATGAATGATAGTATGTAAACTTCTATTCAGAGGATACTTACATCATAGAGCCTCCTATTATTGTTTTCGACGCCATGTTCGTGTGCGCGAATATCTTTTTAATTAATAATCGATTAGCTATAGCGCTAGGAAAAGTTCCTTCACTCACAAGGCCATTTGCAGAGCTCTGAAGTGTTGCAGCCCGTACACAATCCTCTCATGTGACATCCTATTCAAACATTTCCGTTCTTTCCTCTCTTGTTTCTCCGAGGCTTACAAAAAAGCTGGAAAAACTCAAAACTATAATGTGTTGCACAATTCGCTTTAGGTAGTTGACCTACCCGATCTCGCTTGATTATAGATTATGTAAAATAGCGCATTCTTTGATAAGGTGCTTGGAACTGTTGATAAATAGAAGTACTGTTCACTAGTCAAAGAGTAAGATTTAAGTTGTTTTCTTCCAAGAGATTCTTGTGAAATGTGATCTGATTTGACCTGATTTTGACATCTGCAACAATCAGAGCCCCATTCTCCAATTCGGGCTTTGACAAGGAAAGCGTACGGACTCGAAGCGGCCTCTTCCAACGAAATGTGCAAAAGTTTGTAGGTCCTGGCACGCAACATACAAAACAGCGTACCGAATCTGCCAAGCGCTCCTTCGGACAAGATATATGCGTTCGATTTTCGCAAATCGCGCGTTTAATACAAATATGCGCAGAACCCCTAACACATCGTGGCGGCGTAGCGCAGCGGATAGTGGTTGAGCTCATAATCTTTGAGGCCTAGGTTCGAGTCCTTTTCTCGGTGTCATTTTTGTGCTTCTTTTTGTCGTCAGTGATAGGCTGAACGTCCTAGTATAAACAGAAACAAAATTTACCGCAGAAATACAGCTACTATCGTCTATCTAGAAAATTTGCCTGTTATTAGTTTAACAAAAAAATTTGCGAGGGAATAAGATCTCATCACTATAAGGCACTACTCAGACACTCGCACCGGCCGGCGGCCGTTCCACGACCGGCCGGTCCGTCACCGACATTTCGGCTGGAACGAACGCCAGCCGCCGCCAGCCGGTACTCGAACGGCCGCCGGCCGGCGTGCGTCAGTGGCGCAACAAAATAGCACTGGGCCACAGTATTTTTTTCTCTATCTAGCTTTCATTCAGCTCTGTAACCTTAATATGGGGTGGTACGAATCTATAACAACATATTTATTACAGCCAAAAGGTACAATGCAAAGTCAGCTTTTTCGCCATTCAAGTCAAAATAAGCAATAATATAGAAAGATAACGACACCATGGAGTTTGATCAAATCTGAAGAGAGAGTGGAATGAGCAGAATAACAACGGGTTATATCAACTATCAAATGCGGACATAGAAAGTGACGCAACCCAAGTGGAAAACCCTAACAATAACAAAGGAAAATCAATAAAGGAAAGTTTCCTGCTTAAAAGTCACAACGCGCCCAATGTTTGAAATTATTTTACTGTACGCGCAATCTTGTGCGCTTTCCGAGCTTTTGCACAGTGGAACGGACGCCGGCCGGCGTAATTTACTCGTCCGGTGGCCGGCCGGCATTTGGCCCCGCCCTAAATAATGGAACGGCCGCCGGCCGGAAGGCCGTCGTCGGCCGGTCGCCGGCCGGTGCGAGTGTCTGAGTAGTACAACTTCGCACAGCTCAGTTTCAGCCTTAAATAAGAAAAACAAGCATTCCCATGTTTGACAAAACCAGCATAAGTCTAAAGGTTTCGTAAAAAGGAGTCGTGCAACACTGCTTCCCATCCGACCTTGTACGGACTGCCAAATAGGCTGTGAGGAAAGCATTTTATTTTCTGCGTCTATAGTAAACAAGATTTCCTTTTGTTTCCAAGATTTTATTATATGTTATATATACATTACATGTGTATACATGAATTTGCTACAAGTACCAGTGAGCTGTAGCTGTATTCTTGCAATAAATTTTGTTCAAGATGCCAGAAGGTTCAGCTTATCATCAAAGATATGTAGAGAGAAATGCAAAAATGAGGCCGAGAACAGGCCAGAAACGAAGGACTCGAACCTAGACCTCAAAGATTGTTCACCCGCTACTTGCCACTGCGCTAAGCCTCACAATGTGCTCAGGGGATCCGCGAGTACTAAGACATTCGTGGTTAACTCGCGCGCATAGAAAACTTATGTGGCAACAAAATGACTGCGCGACAAAAAACCCGGTACCTGCTTTATGATCGGGATTTCACTGCCAGAGACAACCTATTCTCCCGAAACAGGGTCAAGCGTGTGATGCGACTGTCGCAACGGGGGTCGTAAAGGGCACCGGCGGGGGAGGGGGGGGGGGGTCGTAAGAGAGGTTAAGCCGAATTAAGAAAGTGTGAAACCTCTTCAAAAAACAGCATTTTTCTCCCAGCAAAAAAGGTGTCGCAGACGGGGATCGAACTTGTTGGTCACAAGTACGACCGAAGATTCCAGAGGTCCTCGGGCCGAAGAAATTGCAAAGGACGTCGATTGGATTTTCCAACAAGATTGGGCACCAGCCCGTAGTGCAAAGAAGACACTACAGTGGTTGGAAACCATGTTCCGCGCTTCTGAACCAAAGAAATCTGGCCGTCAAATTTTGGAGCGAAAAGCTTGCTCTACCCAATACATGTGATTCGAATCTCTGAAAAGAGCTCTCTTGGAAGCCTAGGACGATATTTCGGAAAAGTCATCGCGCGCATTTTGAATAATTTCCTGACGAGGTTAGATGCTTGTATTGAAGCCCAAGGCGGGCATTTCGAAAGCAATTTTTAAGATCTTGTACAGAATTGTTTTCTCTATCTGATAGAAGTAAAAGTTTGTAATTTGATATGTTTCTTACAATGTTATAGGCGATTTTTCGCGTCACACTTCATGCGGACCACCCTGTACTATCAGTTTTAGCTACTAGCTCAAAGATTGTAAAGCTATAGTAATTTATCGAACTCTAAAACTATCACGATCAACTGTTCCACAAGCAGTATTTGTTTGTTTTTTATTCTTCCAAAAAAAGTTTTTTTTCGGCTTTACTCAATTCCCGATAGAACTTATGGGTGAGCGCATTGATAAATCTCCGAGGAAGCGCAGTCTGCATTGGGTCTTGAGGTGCTTGAGGTGCTTTTGCAGTCATTTGCAATGTAGATGAGTAAACTAAGCAGTGGTCAGAAACTGAACGTTACTCACATCCGCATCTGCAACGTTGTTAAATGTGGTTGGACCTCCTGGCGCTTTCCATGCCGCTGCAGGTCGTATCAATGGAAAAATGGAGTGAAGCGTGCGTAATGAGGCAAATGAATGAATGTAAGCGTGAGCGTACGAACAAGCGTATATGCAGAACGAGGAAGAGTAAATGGATGAAGCAAGCATGGTATTGGAAGTCAGGGGTTCTGATACATCTTGTCGCGTAAAATCTCGGATTGCTAGCAAGCTTTGAACATCGATTTCCCGTGCTTGGATTGCAGGCCGGTGGGCCGGTTAGTGTTGCTGCCCGGCCGCTAATTGTGCGCGCACACACGCCACTCTTGCATTTTACTCAGACACTCGCACCGGCCGGCAACCGCGCGACGACCATCTTCCGGTCGGCGGCCGCTCCGAAAATCTGGGCGGAGCTAGACGCCGGCCGGTGACCGCTCCAAAAAGTCATACCGACTAGCGGCCGCTCGAACGGCCACCAGCCGCTCAGATAACCGCCGGGGGCAGGCGGCCATGCGAATTTTGAGCAAGCGCGCACCGGAAAAATAGTTCGTTGATTTTTTGCGGCCCGCTTGCAGAAATTTAGAAGAAAGTTGGCAAAATTAAAGACGAATGCTTGAAGAACAATCGCGGTTTCTTTATGGATTAGCTGCGGCGCAGTGGCCGCATTCTCGCGGACTTTCCGCGAGAATATGCAAAAATTTCGAGGGTCGCACGTTCCTTTGTGGAGGACCGCGCAACCCCCAGGTACTTTCCGCTGAGAGAAAGTACCTCAAACTTAAGTAATTAAACCAACGGTGACACCTCTGCCACACAGAGTCTTACCTGCGCTCGACGTACGCCCGAAAATACCTAAAAAGAGTCCGAGCGCTTGCTGAAAGTTTGGCCAGCGCTCGCTGAAAGATAGTATTTGACGAGCGCCCGCAGAAAATTCTGTATTGCTGCCCGCTGGCAGAACGCGGAAGTACCGCCCGCTGAAGGTTTGGCCACGCCCCAAAATTCTGCTGACCGCCTGCAGAAAAGCGCGAGTTTGCGGACCGCCTGCCCCCGGCGATTATCTGAGCGGTAACATTGCCATGTCGCGGGAAGTGAGCGGGATTTGAAAATTGCATGATTGAGCTGTGTAAGCAAACGCCCTACTTCTGCTCTTTCACAATTGAGCGCCATTTTTCTATTTCGTTCATGTCTTGTTTATGTAATTCATCGTCAGAAGAAAGATTTGTATGCTGCCTTATCACTCAAAAATATCTAGAATTCCACATTTTGAAACGATGTTACACTATCTTTGCTAATACCGCTCTCTTTTTCAGAATCGAAGGAAAATTCCAATGACATTTGTAACGCCTTTCTCAAATCTGTTGCTCTTGACGATAAAGAAGTAACACGCCGAGCTGGAACGTACTGGCTGAAGGGTATAAGCTTGAATTTTGCTCAACTTCTTGACTGAACAAAAAAGAATAGAGAGGTACGTTTCATAACCATTTTTTCAGGAGACGAATACGATATACATGGTATTGAGATTTTGCAGTATGCAACCAGCGTACCACTGCTTGCTGTTTATCGTTCTTACCCATAACAGAGCATATGACTTTTCGACTAAGTCTCCATGTATCTCAGCTACGCATTCATGGATTAAAGATATGCTACATATACACACATTTCTACGGGTGCTGGAATCTATCTAGTTCGTGTTCTACTGCAAGACTACTGACCTTACGCCTAACTCCTAGTATAGACTCCACAAGACAGGTGCGTTCTTATCAAAAATTTGACTGGAACTAATCCCTGTGAGTTCCAGGACAGGGAGTACAACTTTGAGTAAGTGTCTGCTCCAGTTGCTTGAGCTTTTGAATTTGCTCTGCCCAGTCATATATAGCACCCTCGGTAAGTTTTGATG